TAGAGCTCAGGTGACAATTGATAAAGCTACAACCTAGTGAGCTCACAAAATTCAATGTCAAAGTTCATTATGACATTTTTAATATTCAAGCAGAAATACATAGAAATTATAACTTCCTTACTTAAATCAATTTAAGGCCACCTTTAATAAATTATTGGTTTGCTGTTTACCAACTAGTGTGGGTATAAAGATAAGATTTTTTTTTCTTTTCTGAATGATGCTTAAAACCCTCTTAATTCAAAATAGTGTTATAAAAAAATAAAATAAAATTTTCATCCCAGGAAATGAGAAAATCTTTTTCTTAGTTTACTTAGGCAAGTTTTAAATTAGAAAGAACAATATATACATCCCCTGCAGTGATTTGTAATAGCTACGCTGTAAGCCATAGACATATTAGCAATCCTTGGTGTAAGCAACACTGTAAATAATAAATTACACTACATAGTACACAAATTTGAACACCCCATACCCATGTCATGAGTTTGAAAGAAACTACTTTAAAAAACATTAAACGTGTCAGAATGATAAATAAAATAGAATTAATAATCTAACTTTCCTACTTTTTTTCTTACAATAAAGCTTTTTGCACATACCAAGAGCAACTTTTGAGTTGATATCAAATGCTCCTTTTTCATTCCGCTTGCCTGTAGATACCAGTTTCATACCAGAGCATATCTGACATACCACCTCCAAAAGACTTCCTAAGCCGTACCTGTAAGATAAAAATTTAATTTTCTGAAAGGTAGCTGATATCATTTTGTTTTATCGTGAGGCCAAACTTAAAATATATGTTGTTTCCCCTTTTTAGACCCAAATTTTATATAGTGGGTAAGTACTGGGTAGGTACATGTACAAAAATGTACCTGAAGGTTCATGTAGGAAAAATATCTTATCTAACATTTATGAAAGGAAATTTACAAAAATGTCATGAAATTTACATTTTTTATTATTTATCAAGAGACTTGAAAGAAAACAACTACATTTTGTATTTCTATTTAGAATGTCAAAACAAAACTTTTTGAGTAGGGACATTTTTCTTGTGTAGGTTGCATTATATAAGGGGAAGGGAAAAGAAACAAAATTCTATTTATATAAGATGTGGTATGATTTCCAATGAGACAACTCTCTAAACAAATCTCAACAAGAGACCAAATGACACTGAATTTAACAACTATCGGTGAGTCAGGGCCTACAAAAATGAGTAAAACCCATATCGCATAGTGAGCTAAAATGTATAATAGGCAAAGAAACAATCGCTGTCCTGTTAGTATTGATTTCCTACAAGGGTTTGGATTGAGAGAAAAATTGTAAAGATTTCTGCCAGCAGGACATATTTGAAAGTGAATTGCAATCATATTCCTACAAACTTCACATGGTTTTGATAGTTTGTAAAAAATGAAGGGGTGCTAAAAATTGAATGCATGTCGTTTCGTAACCTGGTCGATTCGTAACTACGTTGTTTTGTAACTGAGACGTTTCGTACCTGGTGTAATTATATATGGTTATAAAGTGTTAGTTTAAATCAATTAGTTTAAATGAAACAGTTAAAGTTATTATTTAAAAATGATCAAATTGTTCATCTAATAATAACAATATTGTAATATTTTTAATTTAAAACTTTCTTAAATCTTTTTAATTATTGGCGAATTGGTAATTAGCTCGTTGACAGCTTTTATGGTTTTATGACAACTAATGACAGGTAATAAAAAAGTAATTACAGTAGGTGTAAAATGATTAAGTAGATTAATGGCACACGACCTGAAAAAAATAAATATTTTCTCCTTTTTTTCACTTTTACATACAATTGCATAACCCTCCTCCTTTTTCACCAGGGCTGGGGACCGGCGTTGGCAGAGTTAAAGTATTTTTTTTTTTAGAACACTTTATCTTACTCTATTCTTTTTCTTTCTTTCATATACATCACTTTGTTGTCCTTTGTTTGCATGTTTATACTGGCATAAAGCCTGATTTTTCATCCGAAAAACCCTGGTACAAACATGAAACAAAGTCTTAGTTGGCCCAGAGACATATGTGTATATATGTCTCTGATTTCACGGAGTTGCTAATCTCTGTGTATATATGTCTCTGGTTGGCCGGAGCAGCAGCAGCAGTTGGTCCGTAAACAAAAGCACACCTCCTTTACAATGTACTACATGACATCTGGGTTTGAGTGTATTTATCCCAGAATGAGAAACCTACGACTCATATTGTTATTATATATTGATATAAGGTTACAAAACGTCTCAGGTACGAAAGGACATAGTAAGTTACGAATCGACTAGTTACGAAACGACCAGGTTACGAAACGGCCTGCACCCTAAAAATTATTGTTTACCTCATTTCACCTACTATATCCTTCAGATGGAGTGGGGTGTTGCATCTGTTGCAGAAGAGTTGTTCCGCTAGCACTTCCAACTCAACAACCCTCCTACCTTCATTCCATAAGATGTTTTTACTGTGTCCGATATCAGTTGAAACAGTAACATTGGAGGCTATGTTCTCAACTGATACCGGTGTCTCTTGAATCATTGTCGGTTCTAATGGCAATTCTCCCCTCGTACCGTAATCATGGTCTCCCCATTGAGTAAATTTATCTCTCTCGTTCAAAGTGTTCATCCTTTTAGATTTTTTGAATCTGTCGTTCTTAATAAACCGACCGCGAACACGAAGGCGGTCGCAGTCGTCTGCCATTTTCTTTGTTTACCTTGTCTACCTATTGCGTAAAAAAAGAATCGGAACCGATTTTAATTACGCAAAATGCACGTGCTATAATAGGTCATGTGATACCCGTCCGTCTCTACCTTAATACAAATAAATAAATTTTTAATACCACCGGAAACGGCGAATAATTAGTAGACGGGGGGAAATTAGACTCTGTAGTAGATCCTATTTTTGAAATCTACAGGAGTTTTGTTTTTTACGTACGATGGAGCTTGGAATTCTCTAACTACATATGGTTCCGCAGACAGACTCTCCGTATTATGATATTACGGTAAACGTGGAACTCATGAGAGCATGAAGCTGAGAATACTTTAAGACATAATTATAGTTATCTCAGATGAGAGGTAGAAAGTAAAGATAAACTGTTAGCGCAGGATAATGTTCACATGCAGCAAATTTAAAGAGAACGATTTCTCATTTAGTATGGAACTGTGACAGATGACATATATAGACCATCGCACTTCAGCGAACAGACCATCGCACTTCGGCGTAGACCATCGCACTTCAGCGTGACCATCGCACTTCAGCGTCCCCATCGCACCTCCGAGTCCTACATATATAAACTGTAAGCAGCAATAATGTTCAGCAAAGTAAGATCTACAAAAAAGTTAATATGACCATAATTGTCAATTGACCCCTTAAGGAGTTATTGCCCTTTAAAGCCAATTTTACACAATTTGTTCATCAAGTTTGCTAACATTTAAAAATCTTCTCCTCTGAAACTACTGGGCCAATTACCTTCAAACTTTAACTAAATGTTCCTTAGTGTATCTTGTTTATAAATTGTATCCGAAGTTTTGATCCATTGACAAACATGGCCGCCACGGCTAAAAATAGAACATAAGGGTCAAATGCAGTTTTTGGCTTATATCTCAAAAACTAAATCTTTTAGAGCAAATGTGACATGGGGTAAATTTGTTTAATTGATCAAGATCTACTGGCCCTGAAATTATCAGACGAATTGAACAACCCATTGTTGGGTTGCTGCCACCGAATTGGTAGTTTTAACAAAATTTTGCAGTTTTTTGCTATTATTTTGAATATTATTATAGATATATATAAACTGTAAGCAGCAATAATGTTCAGCAAAGTAAGATCTACAAAAAAGTTAATGTGACCATACTTGTCAATTGACCCCTTAAGGAGTTATTGCCTTTTAAAGACAATTTTACACAATTTGTTCATCAAGTTTGCTAACATTTAAAAATCTTCTCCTCTGAAATGCAGGTGAGCGATTGAGGCTCTTGAGACCCTCTTGTTCATTTTCTTGGCCATTATTCTCTATTCTTTTTATTTTGGCCCATTTCTCTTTTTTCTATATTTTTTTTGGGCCCTTTATGTGGTATTTTTTGTCCATCATTCTCTATTCTGTAGACAGTCTTTCCAAACCCTTATTCATTATTCATGCATGAGCTACTTCTGTGATTCAGGTCATATTTCATTTATCCTCCAATAATTTATTTTATTTTTTTTATTTTCTATTATGCAACGTACTACTAGTAGACCAAACTGGTCTAAACATGGCAAATATAAAGAACAAATGCAAATTTGTGTAAAATGTTTCAAATTATTGTTCTTGATTTCACAGTTCACAGTGAAAGATGATCACAATTTTTCTGTTTCTGTATGTCCTAATTTTATTAATGCTATTACCCCTTATGATAAATTATCAAGTGATAAAAATATGTTTGAAGTCATTTGAATAAATTTCCAGCATAATTTAATTAAGCTGTGAAAATTATGCATTAAACAAACTAGAGTTTAAGAAAGAGTTTCAAGAAATCTGCAAGGAATTTGGACAATGTTTGCATCACTTAATATAAGGTATGATGCAAGTAACATAATAGGGTCTAGATAGGGGGTGCTTCATTTCCATGATTTCATTATTCTTTTCAGACCATTTTTCTCTATTCTTTATTTATTTTTTCCCCTTATTCTCTATTCTTTAAATTTCAGCACCCCATTATTCTTTAATCTTTATTTCTTTTTGCCTATTTTTCTCTATTCCTTATATATATTTTCACTTTATTCTGCACTTTTTGCCCATTATTCTCTATTCTGTAAACCCCATCAGCAATAAATGCTCCTTGGAGCCTCTTGTTCTAGTAAATTAAGAATACAAAGTTACTATAAGAACCAGTACTAATAAGACAATTAACACTAAGTAAAATGTGATTTTCTAAACAAAATATTATTAACTAAAGAATTTATTTCAGGATACTGTAATTGTAAGTAAACTATAAATAGAATACATTAATTTACAGATGCATTCATGTGTAATATGTTTTGGAATATTTTAAGACTTTAATGTCAATATATAGGTCTATAACATTGAAGGCAGATGTTTGTTGCAGTTTGACATTAGATTGTGTTGCAGTAGTGTGAAAACAAGATGACTTAACTAACAGTAGAAAATTGCAGATTTGTATTAGGATTTCATTGAATATATAGTTATAGTTAAGTACCATTCTTTGCAGGTATGTATTAATTGTGTCAATGAAAAACAATATATTAAGTATTCTATATAAAATTTTTCCCAATTAGTCAGTATTTATTTCAGTCTTTGATACAAGTTTCACAACATTTAACATAATAATCTACACAATAAGTATTATCAAATGTAGCAGGTGTCAAAGCTGTCTATTAAGATGAAAGTTCATTTTATTACATTTTATTGTTACCATGTATGAGAGTCAGGTCAGGGGTTACAGACCTTCAAAATTTTGTATTCTTTAGTTGTTTTAAATTCCATTTGTCTCTAGTCTTTATTTTTTCGTCCATTAATTATTTTCTTTTCATTTTATTTTAATTAGCACCCATAATATTCTCTATTGTTTGGTTTGGTTTTTTTTTGCCTATATTTTCTATTCTCTATATTCTTTTGCCCTTTATTCTGTATTTTTTGACGATTATATATTTTCTATTGTAAGCCCCATCCAGACCCTCATCATTACTGCTTTATTGGGTTTCTAATTAATCACTGTTTCTCAACTTCAAATATATCAGGAAAATTTAATATCAATGTGCCACCATTTTTTTTCTTCAAATTATGAAATGTATCATAGATAGATCATTTACACTTAAGATATCTTTAATTCCTCTTTAAGTATTAAGAATTAGCTTCTTTAAGCCCCGAAGATATGAGACGACTATACATCTGATTTACATAGAAGTAATAAATAATTATTTTATCTTTTCTCTAAAAAGAGCAATTAGTTTCAATAAAACAGGAATTCATTAAGTGTCATTATATATCTCAAATTTTCCATATTCAGTAACACTTTCAGAAGATGTTTCATAGGTATGGATTTGGAATGAAATCTTTAAATTTTCTGTCATCAAATTGATACCTTATCACTGCTTTTGTATGGTAATATGAATCACTGCACTAGCTATCTTGTCTTTTTCTGGTTTGATTGCCAAAACTTGAACTTTATGCTGATAAATGATATATATTAACACTTCTATGTAAATTAAGAAAAAAAAGATTCATACATATAATTTTCATGATTGCAATTAATAACTCATTATTTTTCTCTTTATAGATGCTTTAATCACTTGTGCATCATAATTTTATTTGAAGAGACAATATATGTGACATAGTAGAGCAATGGGTACTATAACATGGACATTTGTAGTTGGTGCCGTTACCATGGTGATGACATACATTGGAATAAAGCTGTATAGATATTTGAAATGGCTGAGATATGTCACTAAAATTTTATCTAAATTACCCGGTCCAAAACCACACTGGTTATTTGGAAATATTTTTCAGGTAATTTAATAACAATTCAGCAAATATATCATAAATATTGAAATTTCACATCTTTTATTTGTCTTTTGTCATTTAAAAAAAGATACATGTAATAGCTATAAGTAGTTGCATGTTGCTTTTTAATCATGTTGAAGATCATATACTTTTGATGGCAAGCAGGAAACCAGTATTTGTAAATATAGGGTGGTGTGGGGTATATATGTCATTTAGATATCAAACCAAACAGACAAAAACAAAAGAAATCTAGAGGTCAACATAGATAATAGTCTTCAAAAAATAAACATGCTTGACTGAGCCAAATTGAATTATAAAAATTTTCAAAAGACTTGTTATCTTTATTCATGATCGAAGTCTGCTTAAACCAACATTTTTTTAAAATTTATAATCAATTATTATTCAAACAACTTAAAATGATATACTGTGCTTGGAATTCAGAGACCCCTCTCAAAGAGGTAGGGATTTATCACCCTTTAATTTATTTAAATCACAGGGTAAAATCCGCAACTTGTTAAAACCTACTGGAATTTAATTATTACAGAGTCTAAAGATATTACGCTATAGTGTAACACATGTCTGTAAAATCAAAATGTAATTCAACACTATATATTGAAAATGCATCACACAGTGTAGCATAGTCACATGAAGCTTAATACCAAATATCAGGATGCTCTAATTTGTAGTTCCTGATAAAAATGCTCCCAAAATTTTAATGGGACAAACTGATGGATTGCATGACTGACTGATGGAAACATGGACAGACCAAAGGATGGTGATTTTTAAAGTTAAATTCAATTCTTGAACTCTCTTTGATTCCATTCATGTTGGGTTGAGGTTCAATTTAATTCAGAGTCAACTTTATTAATCGTGTTACAATTTTTTTTGTTTTTCAGATAGGAAATTTTAGTGATTTCCAATATAAATGTCATGAAGAATTCATAGTACAGAAAAGAGAGAAGATATATGTGTTTTGGTTGTCAATGTTGTTTCCCACTGTGATGCTTGCACATCCAGATACCATCAAAGAAGTGATGAGGTCTAATTCACCAAAGCCTACAGTAGGACCAGGGTATCCATTCCTTGTACCCTGGCTAGGTATGAAGCCATTTCAGATCATTTCAATATTGGTGTTTTTCCATAAGTACCATAAGAATAAAAAGGTGATATGGGGTGACAAACTAATTCTAACAAATTTTAGTTTGTTTGATGTTTTTCTGCTTTGTATCAATCTGATGAGTTAAGCCTTTTTCAACTGATTTTTAACTGGATTTTCGAAAGAAAAAATCGGTTATTGATTTTGGGATGTACGGCGAGCGGTCGGGCGGGCGGCTGCCAAACAGTGTCTGTTCATTAATATGAAAACGCTTTGACGAAATCTTTACAAATTTAGATATGTTGTTTCCTGTGACTAAATGAAGGTCAAGTTCAATTTTCATGATTTTAGCTGTTCTTGTTGTTGAGTTGTAGACCTTTCAGTAGCAAAAGTGATTCTTATTATATGATTTATTTATTTTGAGTTATTTCCCTTTGAATAGAAATGGTGTAATTAATAAGTATATGGATAGATAGTCTATCAATGATTGTATCTGTTCAATTGATTTTAGTCAGGAGTTGTCAAAAATTTCTTTATAACTATTTTTTTTAAAGTTTTGTGTTTTAAAGGTAGATGTCACAGTTGTTATGTGGTATTTTCTTTTTGTTGTATGTGTTAATGTTTCATTTTTACTTGATCCTGTTTGGGGATCAAGATTTGCAAATATCATTTTCATTAGACATTTTTATTCTTCCTATAAAACTACACACAATTTGTATAATAGATTTTTACAATTAACTAAATATACACATTTGTACATGTATTTGGATTAGGACAATGTATTTACTATTAATTAATTCATGCAATAATTTCCACCTTTTATCAAGATAACAAACATGTGGTAATTATCAAATAACAAAATTATAATTGGAATGACAGATTTATTTTTGATTTTGGACCCAGTTTTCAAGTTGGTCCAAATTGGGGTCCAAAATTAAACTGTGTTTGATTTCAACATAAATTGAATATATATAGGGTTCTTTCAAATGCTGAATCTAAACCTGTATTAAAATTTTGGATTTTTGGGCCCAGTTTTCAAGTTGGTCCAAATCAGGTTGCAAAATTAAACTTTGTTTGATTTCAACAAAAATTGAATTTATGGAGTTCTTTGAAATACTGAATCTAACCATGTATTTAGAGATTTTGGATTATTGGCTCCTTTATCAAATTGGTCCACATTGAGGTCCAAAGGTCCTAAATTATACTTTTGTTTGATTTCATCAAAAATTGAATTCTTGGGGTTCTTTGTCGTCTGTGTTGTCGTCTGTGTCGTCGTACGAAGACATTTGGTTTCCGGACAATAATTTAAGTTTAAGTGTATGGATCTCTATGAAATTTTACAAAAAGGTTTAATATCACCAAAGAAAGGTTGGGATTGTTTTGGGGGGTGATGGTCCCAAGCGTTTAGGTATAAGGGGCCAAAAAGGGGCCCAAAACAAGCATTTTTCTAGTTTCAGGACAATAACTTGTGTATAAGTATGTTGATTGCTCTGAAATTGTACCACAAGGTTCAATATCACAAGTTGAAGGTTGGGATTCATTTTGGGGGTAATTGTCCAAACCGTTCAGGAATTAGGGGCCAAAAAGTGTCTAAAACAAGTATTTTCTAGTTTTCAGACAATAACTTGTGTTTAAGTGTAATGATGTCTCTTAAAATGTACCACATTTTACAAAAAGAAAATTTTCTTCAAATGTTATTTTTTTTTTTTTAGAAAAGGGGAAGGGGGGGGGGGGGGGGGGGTGGTTAAAAAAAATTGGGGGGGGGTGTCAATTTTTTTTCTTCAAGATTTAAGAAATTGTCAATTTTCCAAAGAAAAATTGGGGGTCACAATTGCTAATTCTTTGTAGGGTTAATATTCATATTAAATTAACATGTTCTCGTCCTGAATAATGCATATTAATTTGCCGCTGGACGTTAAGCAGCCATTCATCATCATCATCATCATCTTTTAAGACAGCGCATCAGTATAAATGATAAATCTATTCTATTATCTATAATTGCTGCATTATTACCAGTATAAAATGACAAACTTGTACATTTATTCTTTCTTTATGTCCTACAAAATTGTTTTCATTTTCCATTCCTTTTCCTTTTATAGGTCAAAGCCTTCTTGTATCAAATGGACTTAAATGGGAGAGAAATCGTCGATTGTTGACACCAGCTTTCCACTTTAGTATATTGGCAGGGTATTTCAAGATTTACAACGAAGTAACTGATGTATTATTGGTGAGTAAAACATTAGTACCTTTCTTCAATTTTCCACTAATAGTGTATTTTATGGTCTACAAAGGGGTGGCTGATATGTTATCATTTAGAAACACCAGAAAGATTTTTGCAGTTTAAATTTATTGGCTCACAGACTCTTACCTGCAATTTAAATTATCGTTGAAAGGTATTGGTCGGTAACCTCTGAGCTGTCTACGCCAGTACATTTAAGCAATAATGTAATATATGGAAGATAATTTGGCTGATGAGTTATAGGTGAGTTAAACCCCAGTCTATTTCGTACAGGGATTGGGAATTTCAAGGTCTACATAAGAATGTTATTGTTAACATCATTTTGCCACTAAATATTCTTTATCCAAAAGGAAATAAAAAGAACAACAATACCTAGCCCTAATTCCAATAGAGTTCTGTTTTGGTTAAGAATTTCCTTCTTATACATATTTGGATAACTACCCAGTACCAAAATTTTGCCAAAATCTATCAGAATTGTAGTTCTGATCATTTTTAGACATTTATAATTCGGTCATATATTTGGAAATATGAAAAATGCTGTTATAAGCTTAAAGTAGTCACATTTGAATCTCTGATACTGTGAGTTTAAGTAAAGATTGAAGGAATTTTAGAAAATGTTCCTGTTGAGAAATGAATAAAGGGGAAGTTGTACCTACCTAAGAATGATCATAACAATTGCAGTTTTATCATGGAGCCTCCTCATGGGGTTTTTGATTATATGATTACTTGGCTGTTTTTATAGTGATTATTTGATAACCAGACCAAATATTTCATGATTATTTGATTATTTGATAATCTAGGACTGTATTTTTGATTATTTGATTTTTTTTTTTTTAAATAATTAATGATTATGTGATTATATTAGCCAAAAATTGTGATTATGTGATTACATGGACATCCCCATGAGGGGCCTCATCATATTGATAATGTAGTACATTTGTTAAATATAATAAGATTTTCAAGGTTCTATAATTCACATGCTTTTTGATAATAAACAGTACATGTGCATGCTGAAGTTTAAAAAATTAGGGCATTTAATTACAATTGAATACAAAAAGGAACAAGTATATGTAAAATCCTGACTGGTCAAGAGTGTTTTCACATATAGCAACCACATAATTCATGTAAAAACATTTATTTTAGGATAAATTGGCAACTATTTGTGAAAAGAGAAAATACATAGATATTTTCAAACCAGCTAGCATGGCTACTTTAGACACTCTACTTCAGTGTGCCTTAGGATATAAGGGAGATGTACAACAAGTTGGGTATGTGAAATTTTATGTACCGGTTCATAGTTTTCCAAAATTGTAGTACATGTATGATATTGCTTTTCATCTTCAAAATGAACAAAAAATTGATGAAAAAGATAAAATCTTGTGCAATGCCCAGAATAAATTTGTGAAGATTTCCATGCAGAAAAAATGGAAGGAAGCATTTGAGTTTTAATTCAAACTAATACACTAGCAAAATGAATTGTTCACCCCAAAGAATACTAGACACAATAATTGAACAACAAAAATATAATTATTACCTTATTTAACTGTTTTTTAATTTGTACATGTAAGATCACAGATCACATAGACATAAAGAACGGTTTTCCTTGTTTTCAGAGAAAACCATCCATATGTAATAGCAGTGAATCGACTTGGTTTTCACATTCAGGAAAGATGTTTGTAAGTACTATCAAGTAATATTACTATACAAATCCTTGGGAAGATGTCGTCTTTTTCTTTCTGGAAAAGGAGGGCAATATTTTTCTTTCTTGTGACAAACAACTTTTTTAAAACTTAAATAAAAAAAGAACATTTTTTTCAATAACATATTTTTTTTAAATAAATGTAGTTGTTTTTTCTTTTAACTTATTTTCAATAGAAACAAATCATTTTGTTCAATTCCCTGCTGAAACAAATTACTTTTTTTCAAGAAATTAAGAATGAAACAATAAATTAAAAAAAATATGAATTCAAATGGAATCCAATTGTAATGTATAAGGGTTTGTTTCAAGACCCTTTTTATTTTGGCTCATACCACAATTGAGTATTAGTTTTTGATTCACTATTGAAAACCTTGTATTAGAATTTGTGGTTTTGATTCACCATGGAGGGTCTAGATTGGGGATGGGGTCCTTTATTTCTGTATTCTTAAAATCTGTATTTCATTTTTCTCTATTCTTTATATTGTTGCCAATTTTTCTAAATTCTTTATATTTTAGCACCCTATTATTTTTTATTAGCTTATTATTATTCTAACATTTTTCTCCAACCTTTGTCCATTATTCTGCTAACCCCATCCAGATCTTCATGGAAAATGCTCAAATAAAAGAACTTTCACAGAAACTTAGTTTTCTTTTAGGACAAAGATATGGGGATTTACCGAATAGAGAATAATGGGCAAAAAATATAAAGAATAGAGAAAAATGGACCAAAAAAATAAAGAATAGAGAATAATGAGGTAAAATATAAAGAATAGAGAATAATGGGCAGAAATGAAGGACCCCCATCCAGACCCTCAGATATAAACAGTTTTTGCATATTTTTTTATGTACATGTATAACTTTATTGAATATATTTTGGGTAGATATATTCACCACTACCCAGAGTTCATATACAGATACCTTACAGCTAATGGCAGAGAATTCTTCCAACTTTGTGATTATGTTCATAAATTCTCAAAAGATATCATCTCTACAAGAAGAAAAGAACTGGTAGGTACTCTCATGGGGAGGGGGAATTGTGGGGGCACCCTTTTCAATTATTTTGAATAGCAAAAATGCAATCACTTTCATATATATTTTTTGACAAAAATTATACCTACAGCTTATTGGCTATCATGATTATGCTATTTCAAGGAGAGATAAATAGATTCTGCAAATGTTTGCACCTGTCCTAAGTCAGGAATCTGATTACAGTAGTTGTCGTCTGTTTATGTAGTTCATATGTGTTTCTCGTTTCTCGTTTCTATATAGATTAGACCGTTGGTTTTTCCGTTTGAATGGTTTTACACTAGTAATTTTTTGGGGCCCTTTATAGCTTGCTGTTCGGTGTGAGCCAATGCTCCATGTTGAAGGCCGTACCTTGACCTATAATGGTTTACTTTAATAAATTGTAACTTGGATGGAGAGTTGTCTCATTGGCACTCATACCACATCTTCCTATATCTATTGTCAAATATCTGATGGCTGTGGATTAAATGGCATCTGAGAAACATATTTGACATTTGATTAGTTTCAGATACTTATGATTCAATCAGAAGCCTCAATTTCTTAACCTTATTATATATCATTGAATAAGTAACCTATTCCACTACTCTACCTGTGACTCATTATAAAAGTAAGCGCACCCCTCAATAGATATTGCATTATATTATAGAAGACAATTCTAGACAGTGTAAATGAAAAACATAGTACATCATTAGATATTTACTGTGAATTCAGTATTATTTGTGGGATACCTTTCATGGAATTGGTGGATACACTTGAATCACAAATTTAAATGTTTAACGAAGTTTTAATTTTTTATAGGCTTGTATGCAGACTTTGGCAAAACCACGAAATCAAATATCCACGATAAAAAATATAGATTTCCCTCAATCCAAGAAAATTGGTACCCATGGAAATAAATGAATCCACAGTATACTAAAGAATCTCTTCTATATTTTAAAGTTAGCAAAACTCGGGTTTATTCATTTAATTGCATTCTCTACAAATAAAAATTGATCTAAGGTAAAACAATATTTATAAGTTATCAATTCTGAAAAATCAGTCAGCTTTACAAAATTTGTTCTACTTGGCTTTTATAAAAAGACATACATCTGCACAAAATAAAATTATATTTTGCAGGGGAGATAATTGACTTCACTCGTAATGTTACACAAAACTCAACATAACCAAAACAACATTATAAAAGAAACATAAGAAATTACTAATATTTAAACACAAATTTAAATAATGCAAATTCTAAATAAAAGTATGTTGTGATATAATGCAATAATTTCTTTCAATGGTTAGTACTTCAACTTGACAGAACATACCTTATAGTTACAGGATCAATTAGCGTAGAAACTATTTTGACCTATTTTTTACTATGATTATCAAGAAATGATAGAATCAAGATAAAATCTAATATATTTTATAAATGATCATCAAAGAATGAAAGTAAAGAAACAGAGAAAAAGAAACACTTGGACTTCCTGGATATTTTAATAACAGCAAAAGATGATAATGGTGTAGGACTGACAGATGATGAAATCAGGGCAGAAGTCGATACCTTCCTTTTTGCTGGTAACTTTTTAACAATGAATTTCTAATGAATTCAATATTGGATAACCACCAATCATTTGACTATTGCACATATATGTATTAAAATTAATTGATTTATTTTTCCAGATGCTGCCATCTGACCTATCAACGAATTTAAGTTGAAGAAAACTTAGCTTTTGATAGATTTGTGGTATTCATTCCTATCCTTCTCAATGATTATTTCTGTTTAGATATATTTATTATTTCTATCCTTTTCAAAGATTATTTCTGTTTGGATATATTATTTCTCTAATCTTTGTGCTATTTTCACATTTCTTGATCAGTGTGAGAAAAATATTTTTACTCACTAGTGAAATATCTGTTCTCGGCAAATGATTGATCGAAATTTAATTATGATGTCAAATTTTCTTGGTTTCTTCTGAATTTCCCTATTGTGATGTCATGAAAAAAGGCGACCATTCCTGATAACGTCACATATAAAGAACACAGCTTTCTGCAAATCTTTGAAAAGGAAGGATGAAATTCAGTAGAGAAACAGATTCCACCACTTAATAACTCGTGTATTACTACATTTCTCCACTCTCAACAGTTAAATTTTAATCATTTAAAAAGTTCGGCAAACCTAGCGCTTTGAATATTAAAACTTAACTGTCTTTAGTGGAGAAATATCTTAACACACTTGTTGCAGTGGTGGAATCTATATGTATATCCTTCTTAAAGATTATTTCTGTTTGGATATATTATTTCTATCCTTCTCAAAGATTATATCTGTTTGGATATATTATTTATATCTTTCTCAAAGATTATTTCTGTTTGGATATATTATTTCTGTTTGGATATATTATTTCTGTTTGGATATATTATTTCTATCATTCTCAAAGATTATTTCTGTTTGGGTATATCTTCCAGTACCAAAGTGAAGTCTTGTGAAAGGAATATTAGATTTTGTCAGCCAGGATGAAACAAACAAGCAAAACGGAAACTGAAAACTATGCTTACAGATATGATTGTAAGGAGATGTGGGTATACATTAATGAGACAGAAACCCAGCCAAAAAAATAACCTAAAGACATCTGGAGGGCAACTTACAGTCTTCAACAAAAGACAGGTGTCTAAACAATATGTCAAGGTCTAAATTGTCCTGAGTCTATAAAAGTTGTGAATAACAGAAACACATTTGTACATTTATAGACTGCAGTTGTCTAAGTTATACTGAGATATATCATAATAAATTATTTGTTTGAACATTGGTATAATATTACAATATTATGGTACACTTGTAGTAATTTTAAGCATTTGTTTCTTTCTTTTTATCTGCCATCTAGATATTCTTATAGAAATAGGTGTTGTAAAACTGAGCCTCCTCATTGGGTTTTTGATTATGTGATTACTTGGCCGTTTTTATAGTGATTATTTGATTACCAGACCAAATATTTCATGATTATTTGATTATTTGATAATCTAGGACTGTATTTTTGATTATTTGATTTTCTTGTTTAAAATAAATGGGGAATGTGTCCATGGGACACAGATGATGCCCCCGCTTGCATATAAAGTTGTGAAGGGACATAACTCAGGAACTGTAAAAGTGATGCTACCCAAATTTGTACTTGATCTGAGTTTTGTGGTAATAAGTATTGTGTATACATTTCATAACATTTAGTTGAGGCAAACTTAAGTTAGAGAATGGAAACAAAAAATCCAGCAATTTTTCCATTTAGAAATGGGCATAACTCTAGAACAGTATAGATGACGCCAACAAAAATCAAACTTGATCTGTGTTTTGTGGTAATAAGCATTGTGAATTAGTTTCATAACATTTGGTTGAGGCAAACTAAAGTTAGAGAACAGAAACAAAAAATTCAGCAATTTTTCCATTTGTAAAGGGGCATAACTCTAGAACGTTATAAGTGACGCCACCAAAATTCAAACTTGATATGAGTTTTGTGGTAATAAGCATTGTGTATAAGTTTCATAACATTTGGTAGAGGCAAACTAAAATTAGAGAAGGGAAACAAAAAAATTAGAAATTTTTCCATTTGTAAAGGGGCATAACTCTAGAACGGTATAGGTGACGCAACCAAAATTCGAACTTGATCTGAGTTTTGTGGTAATAAGCATTGTGTATATGTTTCATAACATATGGATGAGGCAAACTAAAGTAAGAGAACGGAAACGAAAAATTTAGTAATTTTTCCATTTGTAAAGGGGCATAACTCTAGAACGGTAAAAGTGACACCACCAAAATTCAAACTTGATCTGAGTTTTGTGGTAATAAGCATTGTGTATAAGTTTCATAATATTTGGTTGAGGCAAACTAAAGTTAGAGAAGGGAAACAAAAAATTTAGCAAATTTTTCCATTTGTAAAGGGGCAAAACTCTAGAACGGCAAAAGTGACGCCACCAAAATTCAAACTTGATCTGTGTTTTGTGGTAAGAAGCATTGTATATAAGTTTCATAACATTTGGTTAAGGCAAACTAAAGTTAGAGAACAGAAACCAATTTTGGGACGTACGTACGGACGTACAGACAGACAAGGGTAAAACTTAATGCCCCCTCCGCTACGGCGGGGGCATAAAAATAAAATAATGATTATGTGATTATATTGGCAAACAATTTGTGATTATGTGATAACTTGAACACCCCCATGAGGGGCCTCAAAACTCAGGTCTAAACTATATTTTGCATACTTCTTAATATTGTAGAGTTTATGTTCTAGGTCATGACACAACATCCTGTTTACTCAGTTGGAGTATGTATTGTTTGAGTAAATTCCAAGACATCCAGGACAAAGTTTACCAGGAAATTAAGGAGGTCATTGGCAACAAAAATACTGTTGACAGGTAAAATTGTATTTTATTTTAAAGAATGAAGTATTATCGAGAATTGTAATTTATCTTTGGAATCCTAATTCCCAATAATCAAACAGACAATTAATGATTTGCTTGACAACTTGACATGGTCATGGTAATAGTTTTTTTCAAACACATTATGATTAACTTTAGGACCATTCAAAATGAAAATAACACATGATAAATTTAGTGCGTCCAAATTACTTTTCAGGATTTGCCTTTATCAGAAAGCCTAATTTTACCCAAAAATTTGAAAGCCAAGATACTTTTTATTTCTTCTTATGACCAAAGACAATTCTAAGCTACATTGCATTTAATATAGACATTTAACATTGTCATCATCCTTATATGTTCATTAACAAATTGTACTACTGTGTAAATAAAACATGATACTGGAGTTGCAATCTATGTTTTTTGTAAAGTTTATTGAAAAGGATAGGTACATGTATTGTCAGCCCATTAACAGTTAAAAAGCAAAGTTACATACTTTCAAGAATGGTTGATTCGTTTTAAATTGGGTCAGATACCTCCAACACCTGCTTGCGAAGAGGGTCCAGGCAGATTTCAATATGAATGTAAACTTTTAAGGTAATTTCTATGAGTTTTTTTAAACAACTTTGACCAATTTAGATAAGCATTGGTATATTGTCAAATAATGTTAATTTTTCTTGACAGAGAATGAAACATATGACATACCTGGTGAAATATATTAAGGTACTATGGGTTCTGCAGACAACTTTGATCGTAAAATAGCAGAAAACAAGATTTTGTAATGAAAAAATCAAAATTTGGAAAGAGGAATGCAATTTATTCGGAAGACTTTCATTTGAAGGAAAAAAATTATGTTATTTTATCTTATTATTATGACTAGATTTACAGAGTCAGAGTATTTTTTGTTAGAGTTATTGGTTTTTAAACTAAGCCTTTTAAAGGGAGATAACTCAGATAATTGATTTAAAAAGGAATGTACAGTAATTTTTTTATTTTATTTTATAGCAGTTACCCCATTTTTCTTTGAAATTTCGCAAAGCATTTCATAAGAACTATCATTTAATTTCATTCGGTTATTGACTTTTCTTTCTATACACATAATAAGGCCTTTTCTCTGTGTAATTCTTACAAATTGTGTCATTTTTTCACAACTCGAAGCTTTAAAACAAAGAAAATAATGCCATTTTTGCAAAGTTTTACAAAATTCTGAAAATGTCTATACCCCTATACTACCTTGATAAGGTTTATATTGGGGAAGGTTGTTCTTACAATAAGAGCTTTATTATCATTAATAGTCCTTCTTCAATATCATGTTTAAGTTTACAATTAATACCATTGTTTTATATAGTGAAGATCTACCAAATTTGAAATACTTGACATGTTTCCTGAAGGAAGTAATGAGATTACATTCACCAGTATCGATAGTTAACAGAATGCTTGAACAACCAGTTGTTATTAACGGTTTAGAGATACCTGCTGGTATATTAATAGATCTTGGTATTTATCATGCTCAAAACCATCCTGATGTCTGGCAAAATCCCACGGTAGGTCTTAATCAAACAATGTATTGTAAAGGTTTTAAAAATGCCTTCCCATGTTCAACCAACACATTGTCATAGATTTGCTGCATCAAACAATTATATTTTTGAATTCATGAGATACTGTTACTAGTTTGCAAATATTATACCTCAGTTTTTATTTCTTTATAAAATTGTAGACAATTAAATTTACTAATTTTACGAAATTGTCTGAAAAAGACTTATGGGTTTTTTTAACGACCTTGACTGGCTATAAAGCCCTTGCACGGTCGGTAACCGAAAAACTGGTTAATAGTTTTAAAAACAATTTACTGGATATGAACTATTTACTGGAAGCAAACATTTTCCTGTAAAAAGACTATTAACCGGTGCAAATAATGGTTTGCATCAGGAAATAGTCTAAGGGACAATAAACTTGCTATTGTCCTCATAGCCAGTAAATAAGTGTAAACTAGTACTGGTTGGAATACAAATCTAACCTGGAATCTTGGACAGGAAACATAAGACATATATTTAAATTCCTAGATTTAGACTATCTATTTGTAAACCAGTCAAACTTGAAGCAAAAAAAGTGAAAAACTATCTAACAATAAAATTTAGATAAATTTGGGTAGCTAATTTAGAAAGCAATTCTGGGAAGAGTACCAATATACAGTCAGGCAATAAATTAAGAACTAACAGAAAATTTAAAAATATATAAACTAAGTTTAATTTTGGACCCTTTGGACCTTAATGTAGACCAATTTGAAAACGGAACCAAAATTTAAGAATCTAAATACACGGTTAGATTCGGCATATCAAAGAACCCCAATAATTCAATTTTTGATGAAATCAAACAAAGTTTAATTTTGGACCCTTTGGACCTCAATGTGGACCAATTAAAAAACGGGGCCTAAAATCAAAAAACTAAATACACGGTTAGATTCAGCATATTAAAGAACCCCAAGAATTCAAGAATAAAACCCCATTGAAATTGGTCAAGAAATAAGCAATTTATATGAAGTATCTTCTTTTGCACAATACTGTGCAATTAAATATTTCTTGCTATTGCGCAATACTGTAAAATTGACCATTTCTTCTATTGCGCAATATTGTGCTATTGCATATTTCTTGCTATTGCGCAATACTGTGCAATTGAAGATTTCTTGCTATTGCGCAATACTGTGCAATTGAAGATTTCTTGCTATTGTGCAATACTGTGCAATTGAAAATTTCTTGCTATTGCACAATACTTATTATATAATAATTTACACATCCTTTTTGGTGTGTATCTCCTACCATATCATTATTATTTACTTTTAAATATAAATCAGAAATAACCAACTTAAAATGGAAAATTTAAAAAAAAGAAAAAAAAAGGGAAAAAAAAAAATCCCCCCCCCAAATTTTTTGAACCCCCTTATGATTCATCACCCCCAAACTCAATCCCAGCCTTCCCTTTGTGGTATGGTACCTTGCAGTACAATTTCAGAGAGATCCATACACTTGAACACAAGTTATTGTCTGGAAACTAGAAAAATGTGTTTTTTGGCCCCTTTTTGGCCCCAAATTCCTTAACATTTAGGGCAATTACCCCAAAACTCAAACCCAGCTTTCCCTTTGTGATATGCAACCTTGTAGTACAATTTCAGAAAGATCCATACACTTGCACACAAGTTATTGTCCTGAAGCTAGAAAAATGCTTGTTTTTTGCCCCTTTTTGGCCCCTTATTCCTAAACTATTGAGGCAATTACCCCCATCATCAATCCCAGCCTTCCCTTTGTGGTATGGTACCTTGCAGTACAATTTCAGAGAGATCCATACACTTGAACACAAGTTATTGTCTGGAAACTAAAAAAATGCTTATTTTTTGGCCCCTTTTTGGCCCCAAATTCCTAAACGTTTCGGTAATTACCCCCAAACTCAATTCCAGCTTTCCCTTTGTGATATGGAACCTTGTAGTACAATTTCAGAAAGATCCATACACTTACACACAAGTTATTGTCATGAAACTAGAAAAATGCTTGTTTTTTGCCCCTTTTTTGGCCCCTAATTCCTAAAATTTTGAGGCAATTACCCCCAAAATCAATCCCAGCATTCCTTTTGTGATATGGAACCTTGTGGTACAATGTCAGAGAGATCCATACACTAACACACAAGTTATGTCTGGAAGTTACAAAAATGCATTTTTTTCTAGTTTCCAGACAATAACTTGTGTTCAAGTGTATGGATCTCTCTGAAATTGTACTGCAAGGTACCATACCACAAAGGGAAGGCTGGGATTGAGTTTGGGGGTGATGAATCATAATGGGGGTTCAAAAAATTTTGGGGGGGGGTTTATTTTTTTTTCCTTTTTTTTCTTTTTTTCCTTTTTTGTTTCTTTTAAAATTTTCCATTTTAAGTTTGTTATTTCTGATTTATATTTAAAATCAAATAATAATAAATTATTATATAATAAGTATTGTGCAATAGCAAGAAATTTTCAATTGCACAGTATTGCACAATAGCAAGAAATCTTCAATTGCACAGTATTGCGCAATAGCAAGAAATCTTCAATTGCACAGTATTGCGCAATAGCAAGAAATATCCAATAGCACAATATTGCGCAATAGCAAGAAATTGTCAATTGTACAGTATTGCGCAATAGCAAGAAATATTTAATAGCACAGGATTGTGCAAAAGAAGATACTTCCTATAAATTGCTTATTTCTTGACCAATTTCAATGGGGTTTTATTCTTGATTTCATGGGGTTCTTTAATATGCTGAATCTAACCGTGTATTTAGTTTTTGGATTTTGGGCCCCGTTTTTAAATTGGTCCACATTGAGGTCCAAAGGGTCCAAAATTAAACTTTGTTTGATTTCATCAAAAATTGAATTATTGGGGTTCTTTGATATGCCGAATCTAACTGTGTATTTAGATTCTTAAATTTTGGTTCCGTTTTCAAATTGGTCTACATTAAGGTCCAAAGGGTCCAAAATTAAACTTAGTTTGATTTTAACAAAAATTGAATTCTTAGGGTTCTTTGATATGCTGAATCTAAACATGTATTTAGATTTTTGATTATGGGCCCAGTTTTCAAGTTGGTCCAAATCGGGGTCCAAAATTAAACTTTGTTTGATTTCAACAAAAATTGAATATATGGGGTTCTTTGATATGCTGAATCTAACCATGTATTTAGATTTTTGATTTTTGGGCCCCGTTATCAACTTTGTCCACATTGAGGTCAAAAGGGTCCAAAATTAAACTTTGTTTGATTTCATCAAAAATTGAATTATTGGGGTTCTTTGATATGCCGAATCTAACCGTGTATTTAGATTCTTAATTTTTGGTTCCGTTTTCAAATTTGTCTACATTAAGGTCCAAAGGGTCCAAAATTAAACTTAGTTTGATTTTAATAAAAATTGAATTCTTAGGGTTCTTTGATATGCTGAATCTAAACATGTATTTAGATTTTTGATTATGGGCCCAGTTTTCAAGTTGGTCCAAATCGGGGTCCAAAATTAAACTTTGTTTGATTTCAACAAAAATTGAATATATGGGGTTCTTTGATATGCTGAATCTAACCATGTATTTAGATTTTTGATTTTTGGGCCCCGTTATCAACTTTGTCCACATTGAGGTCAAAAGGGTCCAAAATTAAACTTTGTTTGATTTCATCAAAAATTGAATTCTTGGGGTTCTTTGATATGCTGAATCTAACCATGTATTTAGATTTTGGATATTGGACCATAATAGGTGAATGTCCAATTTAAAATTTTTAAGTTCTTAGACCACATTCAATCTGTGTTAGAAACCTATGCTGTGTCAAATATTTAATCACAATCCAAATCCAAAGCTGTATCAAGCTTGAATGTTGTGTCCATACTTCCCCCAACTGTTCAGGGTTCGACCTCTGCGGTCGTATCAAGCTGCGCCCTGCGGAGCATTTTATTGAATTTGATTTCACACTTTTGGGTTAGGCCTTTAATCTTCTTGCATTTAAAGAAAGACTGCAATATAGCCTTACTTGAGATCTTGTCTTTATTTAGATCGTAGCAACAGTGCTTACCTCACCTATTATAGACATTTTGCCACAAGATGTCTTTATACAAAGTTGTTAATGTAAGCATGATGCTATACAGTAGTGTTTGATAATAGCTGAAGGCAGTGATCTATAAATTTAAACCATTGTTGTGAATCAGCCTATTCATTTACCGTGGATTCTTTTTCTAGAATCCTAAATCTGTCGCTTAAATGGACTCGCCAAATTATATTCAATTGTTTCCTTTGTATCGAACCCCTCCTTGAAATCTGTTATGAGTGACTGACATCAACACATCGACGAAACCCCGCGGCTACCAATATAAATGTCTATTTTATATATATAAATAATTATAAATAAACATTAGCACACATATGTACAACAGATACTCAGGGCTTGTACCTTTATGTATACATAATAGACAATCGTATAGTATAAGTTGGTAGCCGCGAGGTTAACATGGTTAATATCAATGAGTTAAAGAGTCAAGTTAAAGGTAGAGACTTGTTCGTTTAGGTTCGAATCCCTGTATTCTCTTTGTTGTCCTTATTCTTTAGTTTTTCTGTTTTTCTAATTTTGTATGTTACTGTGGATATTTTTGTAATAATAGCGGGTTTTCCCGTTTCTTTTTGGATTATTATTGGCTATTTCGCATATTTGAAAAGAAAATGATTACATTCAATTTGTCCATTTTTATTTTATGAATATAGTATGCTTTCGTCTGTTTGACTACATATCTTTACAAATGTTTATTCACAAATCCCTATTCGAGTAACATGAGTAAATCGTGATGTGCCTAGAATTAGACTTCTTGATAGAATTTTCAGTAGCATACTTATTATATATACTTAGAAATAAGTTTGAATATGTCTTATTTTGTAAATTACAGATGATATTCAGATGATTTAAAGACAGACGTGTTATGTTATATTTGTATTTTTCTAACCAATTAATTGTGAACTTAGATTTATTAATGCATCGTTGAACACGATAATTAATTGTGAACTTAGATTTATTAATGCATCGTTGAACACGATAATTTATTGTGAACTTAGATTTATTAATGCATCGTTGAACACGATAACATGATTATTTAAACTCACTTACAATACCTTCTAATTAAGAAAAGACATCAACACAATAGTTTAAGTTAGAGATACAATGGATAAGCGTTGATTCATTGTATCTATAATACATATCAACATCATTTGGACTCAGGTGGATGATTGTCAAATTGGCAATCATACCAAATCTTCTTATTCTTTATAAAGTATCTTTTTTCTGTATGGCTGATTATCATATTTGACTTTATCACCAACAACAATGTGTTATTTTAAAATGGCTCTTTTCTTTCAAATATGTAAATTCTAATAATTTATAACATGAAAGTGACAAGCAAATAATAGAAAAACAAAAGCCTTCATCATATTCACAGCTAAGCCTATTTCAGGAGTTTAAACCAGAGAGATTTGAGGGAGACAAACATCATGAAATGGATCCATATAGCTTTACTCCATTTTCAGCTGGACCCAGGTAAGCATTTATTTATCCTTGGTATGGGAGATAACTCATTACTGGTAATAACTTACTGGTACCTTTTCTTAAAACTTTTTTCTGTGTAAGAAGGTAAATATAAACTTTTTCTCTTATAAATCAATGAGATTTGAGGGAGACAAACAATATGAGAAGGATCTGTATAGTTTGATCATGGATTAAGATTAGGTACCAAGTTATCAATGAGTTATCTCCCATATGAAGGACAGCTAATTTCCCTTATCAACATTAAGACATGAATCCTTGAAATTTTAATATATTTTTACCTGGCCCGAGTAAATATTTATTATATCCCATATAAACAAAAGAGATTTCAGAAGATAAACATCTTGACCAGAGTCGTTGAAATTTCAGTCCCATTTTCAGCTTAATCTTTCTCCAATATTAAGCAGAGAAAGGAGAAGGTACACATGGGATTTATTTGCCCTGAAATTATCATAAAATAAGAAATTGCATAATACCAATTAGATATAAGAAGATGTGGTATGAGTGCCAATGAGACAATTCTCCATCCAAGTCACAATTTGTAAAAGTAAACCATTATAGTTCAAAATACGGCCTTCAACACAGAGCCTTGGCTCACACCGAACAGCAAGCTATAAAGCAATTGTTAACTTTAACTTGGCTAAAGAACCAATAGAATTGAAATATTTTAAACTGAAACTGGGTTGTGTTAAAACAATACATAAACTCATTAAATTCTGGAATTTAAGAAATTTGGAAATATATTTGATTTGACCTCAAGTCATTTCATCCTCTTCAAGGGAGACAAACATCATGATATGGATCTTTATGCTCTCCTCAATCAAGATAAATATGAGTTGTCCCCTATATAAAATAATGTCCTGAGTTGGATCTTTATGATTAAATTCTACTGGCATTTGCTGTAGGAACAGTAGATAAGAGTTATCTCCTGTATATACCAGATATATTTTAGGGAGACAACCATCATGACCTTTCTTAAAGTTCTGTTGGTTCAAGCCAAGGAAAATATGAGTTATCTCCCATGCAAAGCAGAGAGATTTGCATAAGATAATCCTTATGAGACATATCCTTATTGTTGTATAAGTTAATTGTAAGAATAATAATATATACTTACCTATTTCTGTGGTAAAAAGGCAAGTATAAATTATAGTTCATATAAATTATGAGATTTTGAGGAAACAACTTTATGAGAAGGATCCATATAGGTAGATCACATGTTGAAGAAAATGTACAAATTTAATAATGAGTTATCTCCCATATCGAGAATGGATATATTGAGTTTTACTCTAGGTTTTTTCTATACACAAGGTAAAATTCAATTAAGTGTACTATTTACATGCAGTGAAGAGAGATGTGAAGAATATATAATGATGAAATCATGTGAAGACTATATAATAATGAAATCCTTTTCTTCAGAGCTTTGTCACAACATATAAAAGTGACCAATGAAAATATCAACAAAAAATTTAAAATGTACCAAAAAAATAAAAGAATCACAAACTGTATCTGAGTGAAATGTTCTACTGTTCGACTGAGTATTAATTTTTCACAAACTGATGTTACCTTTTATTGAGCATTCATTCACCAGTACCCCCTCGTTTAGAATATGAAATATTTGCCACTAATAAATAAGCAAACAATATTCAATCACTAACTTATCAGCACTAATGATTAGTTATAATTACATGTATCTTTTACGAAGATTTGATTAATGTAATTTACCTTTGTAGAAACTGTATTGGAATGAACTTTGCACAGAATGAAGAAAAAGTGATGATAGCGAGAATTATCAAAAGGTATGATGACTGCACTACAATCTCATATTAAACAGTTAGACAAATACAAACCTTCCACATCTAAGAAAATTCAGACAGATTTAAGAGCATTAAAGATATCACATATTATCACAAAAGCAAGTAGTAATTCAAAGAGAAGTGCTTTCAAATTTGAAATCACTTTTTATTTTAGTTAGGAAAAACCAGAGACATATATACTATACTGTATTTATATGTCTCTGGAAAAACTGAATTATATAATATTTGATATTTTTTGCTTGTTTGTTAATGACAGGGATAAGTGCTTAAGTATGCATGGAGTAAACTTAAGTACCTAGTGTCAATAACTGACCTTTGACCTTACATTTTGTTTTACATACCAGCAAATCAAGTACACCTAGCTTATTATAAATACATAGACTAGTACCAGCTAGTAAGGTGATAAGTTTGTAGAATTCTCATTTTTCACTATGACTACAGAGCCAAAATATGTAATAAAGCATGTGAAAACTGGTTCCCCTGAGTCCTTAGTTATTGTATTACAACTATGCACAATGACCATAAAATTAATTGACATCAAAAAGTCTTGATATTACACAATCACAGATTTGACATATAAATTGAGAAAGGAATCATATGGAATGGGTGTTTATGTGATACAAATCCATGAAATACAAGAAAATATCCATTATATATAGAATAGCTAATCAAAGAATTCAAATATTTTTTTTTAGTTATCATTGAAGATATTGATTTGATATTTTTTACATAGTTTAACCATGACAAGTAATAGACCAAGTTCGAATTTAGCTCTGTTCAGATGATTTTTTTGCAGAGTTATGGTCCTTGGACTAAGAAAATATAATATAAAAATATAATGTTGATACAACTCCTTTAGTGAAACTTTTTAATATATTCAGTTAGCATTTTGTTCCAGTACAATGCATTTTTAACTGGTAGGGGACAATGTATTGGCATGCAATAATCTCAGAATGCTTGTTCATTTTATTAATGGAAATAAAGTATAAAATACAAGGAACTATATCTTTTTCTATGCATTCTCAATTCTTTTTGATGTAATGTCATTGACAATGTCTTGACAACGACACCAGAGGCGTCAATAATATATTAGTTTGTGATTAGGTCTAGTTCATGGTGAACCACTAGTAGTAGGTCAATGATATTTGGTATGCAGTTGTATTAGCATTGGCACATCTCATTACCATGGAGATTATTTGGCCCTGCCCCCTCAGTCAAGGTCTATTGACTTTGAAACTTTGCTTAGTTTACATGTATTAGTTTGTGATTAGGTCAGTTTATGGGGAACCACTAGTGGTAGGTCAATGAAATTTGGTATGCAGTTGTATAAGCATTGGTATATCTCATTTCCATGGAGATTATTTGGCCCTGTCCCCTCATTCAGGGTCTATTGACTTTGAAACTTTTGCTTAGTTTTCATGTATTAGTTTGTGATTAGGTCAGTTTAAGGGGAACTGTTAGTGGTAGGTCAAAGATAATTGATATGCATTTGTATAAGCATTAGCACATCTCATTTCCATGGAGAATATTTGGTCCTTACCCCTCAGTCATGGTCTATTGACTTTGAAACTTTTACTTAGTTTACATGTATTAGTTAGTGATTAGGTCAGTTTAAGATGAACCACTTATGTTAAGTCAATGATATTCAGTATGCAATTGTATTGGCATTTGCAAGTTTCATTTCCATGGAGATTACTGGTATATAACCCCACCCCCTAATTATGGTTCATTGACTTTGAAACTTTTACATAGTTTACAAGTTAATGTTTGTGTTTAGGTTTGTTTACAGGGAACTACTTATGAAAAGTCAATAGTATTTGGTTTGCAGTTGTATTAGCATTGGCACATCTCATTTCCAGGGAGATTGTTAAGCCCTGTACCTTCAGTCATGGTTCATTGACTTTGAATATTTGCATAACTTATATGTTAAAGTATTGCTATTTTAATTTCAACATTTGCATTATCAAAATAACAAATAGGCGAGACATATCTCTGTGTTAACAGTTTATTAAACTACAAAATAACAGTATTTCATTGCAATGTAATAATTCAAAGTAGCAGTACTTTTTTTGCTGTTGTTCTACATTGATAAAAGGAGCATTTATAATGTCTTTTATATTGACCTGTTTCAGTGATATTAAACGTACCTCATTTTTTTCATACAGTTTATTTGCCCAGAATAATGGATTGAGATAATCTGTACTTTTTAATTTTAGATCATCAGTTATACATTATATATGATTTAATTTTTTTGAACAGATTTGAAATATCACTAGATCCAGATCATGTTGTTGAACCTTTCATGGAGGTTGTTTTGAGGGCAAAAACTGGTATCATGGTGAATTTCAAAGAAAGAGACTTGTGAAAGACTTCTCAAGATGTTTATTTCTGCAATGATGGCTAATTTGCTTAACAAGAGTTAATACATGCACTTCAGAGTATAAAATCATTTTTTGAAGCTATAAAATTACCACTGCTTGAACAAATTAAAGCAAGAATCACATTATCAAGGAGTGGCAAGAGAGATTTTTGTCAAAAAAAATTTCAAATGTTTTTAAAAAATCCATCAACAAGGGAGATAAATCAGGAAAGTGGTACAGTGCTTTATAAAATTAATATATCTTTTAAAACTGAAGATACCACAAAAGGAGATTATTCATACATTATTTAATGACATTTACAATTTTTGTATTTGTTGTGTGTATTTGTAACATTGGTAAAGAAAGTTGTGCAAATTGTTTTAGTTTGTAGCATTTCTAATACATGTATTAAGCTGGTTGTACTCACATGTTACAATTAGAATGTGTTATTAAGGAAGGGATTTGCTTTGAGAGTGTTGTTGGTTGGATACCAATTACGTGTTTCCCACTGTTAAATAAAACTTCCAGTGAAATGCAATCTTTTAATTAAAAAGTATTGTTCCTAGAATGGAGTCATGATTTGTTTTTTTGAAAATTCAGAAATTGGTCCTTAAATGGTAAATGAAATACAAAATTTATGAATTTAATTCAATTGTATCTGAAAATATTCATGATTATAATAAAAATGTATGCATCAAACCCAATATTTTCATCTCTCAATTTTCAGCTGCATAAAGCAGAATATCAAAACAAAAATGGTTACCTATATATTCACACCTTTCAAAGCTCGCCATGTTTTACAGGCAAAATACTTAAATTTGTTACTTTTCAATGCTTTTTGAATTGTTTATTGTTTTTTTTTTTATTTATTAATATTTTGTATTTAATGGACTTTTTTTGCCTCAGTCAATGCAAGTAATATTTATATTATTTCTGTGCTATTTGAATATTAATGTTTATTGTTTTTATACATGTACATTTGTTTTTGAATGTTTTATACTTTTATTTGATGGAGTATTTATGCCTCAACTGCAATTGCAGCAGGTAAATTATTCACTGTCTGTGTGTATGCCAGAATCTTTGTTAATTCATACATTCTGGTTATTGTTGTTGTAACATAGTCACTTTTTGAAAACGCATTAACTTGAAGTTAAGCAATAATCAATCAATCATTCTGATTCAACCAATTGTTTTAAGGTATTTTTATGTGAAGTAAGGACACAAAACTTAATACAGCATATAACTACCTATAAATTATACATGTAATAAGATATAAACTTTTTAATGATAAAAATTTTTTAATTTTTTTAATACAAGATGTTCATTGTATTGTACAATATAACTGAGACTACTATATCACATTATAAAATAATGAACGAAAAACAAATATGATATACAGCAACAAACGACAACCACTGAATAACAGGCTCCTGACTTGGGATAGGCACATGTGTTATAGTAGTCTCAGAATATACAAAATATATGATTTGACTGGAATTTTATAGCCAAATGATAAAAGTTAAATACAGATGTACATGTATTTGGTAAAAGATCTGAGAAACTTTTATGTGAAGCTCTTGTCATATCAACAGTAAACATTAAACAATGTAGCTTCCCAAAATGTTTGTGAAAAAGTGGCGAGAAATTATGTCCAAATATACAAAAGGATTAATTTTGTTACATAATGCTGCCTATTTCATCTTGGAGTTACTTGTTGGTGTGGAAGTGTCCAGTGGACAATATGAAAATAAGGAGAAGTGGTTTTATTGCCAATGAGACAACTATCCGGCAGAGATCAAATGACATGAATACCAGCAATTATAGATCACTGTATGGCCTTCAACAATGAGAAAAACCTATACTTTGTAGTCAGTTATCAAAGGCCCAGACATGAAAAATGTGAACAAAAAACAGCCTAATTTTAACAATACAATTTACGAAAAACAATTATGACAGACGTGAACCAACGACAACCACTGAGAAGTTTACTTTCTATATCCCATTTAATATATGCTTATATAATTACATTGTAGTGTTTTGTAAGATTTTAAATTTTTTCAAACTCTATAGTTTGTGTTAAATATGGAAGAGTCATTAATAAACATTTGATAATTAATTCATTTGTTTTGACTCATACTTGTTTCTTCAATAACTGTTAATGTCTGACATTTTTTATAATAGCATGCCTTCTATTAGTTAATTATTTCGACATGTTAGTGTCTCATGGTCAGTGAAAACTACTTTAGAAAAAAGAGCATGAAGAGGTCTTAGGCTAAAATGTCTTGAAATAATAAAATGCAGAATAACAATATTATAAAACAGTAAATATTCTGAAGTAGTTTTGATGGTCTAAATGTTGTTTACTTTTGTTGAATATTGTAATATTATGTAATTTTGAGAGAAAATAATAAAATTTAAAGAAAAATAAGTTGTCTCTGTCAATTCTAAGCATATTCTGATACCTCTAGGTATCTCCTTTCTTATCCATCTAAGAATTGGATGTAAATAGCAGATCTATATATAAAAATAAAAAGATGCGGTATGATTGCCAATGAGACAACTCTCCACAAGAGACCAAATGACATCTAACAGAAGTTAACATCTATGGGTCACAGTATGGCCTTCAACAATGAGCAAAACCCATACCTCATAGTCGGCTATAAAAGGCCCCGAAATGACAAATGTAAAACAATTCAAACGAGAAAACAAATAGCCTGATTTATGAATAAAATAATGAAAGAAAAACAAATATGATATACAGCAACAAACAACAACCACTGAATTGGGATAGGCACATACAGAATGTGGCGGGGTAAAACTAGTTTGGAGGTGCCAACCCTCCCCTATAGTTCTCCCTGTATAATTTATTTCCAACTTGTTTAGAGCTGGATATATTGTATAGACACTAAAGTTAACTATCAGTAAGGACCTATGTTGACCATTAGTCATAGATATATAGATCTGTTTTTGGTCGCATTGTTGATATTCTATTTCACAGAACAGGAACAGGGTAATGGGCAAGCGCAACTGTTTGAAAAAGAAAAGTTAATGATTTTGAGTACATTAGCGTATATCTATTGATTTTTTTACTGTTATTGCAGACTTCGTCCCCATATTAAATATAAACACATATGAAAAAGCCCAAGCCAAGATAATTAGAACTGAGGGTAAGATTTCCAGTCCTTGACAAGGAGTGTCAGTTTCGGAGACAATAGACAATTTTAACCAGGGAGTCTGTGATTTTCATATTTTGTATTTTTTCCTGTATTTTGATTCTTTTTCATACAGGTTTAAGATCAAATGGATAAAAAACAGTTAAAAAGTCAGGAAAGATGTGTAAATTATGCCCCTTTATAGCTTGCTGTTCGGTGTGAGCCAAGGCTCCGTGTTGAAGACCATACTTTGAACTATAATGGTTTACTTTTATAAATTTTGACTTGGATGGAGAGTTGTCTCATTGTCACTCATACCACATCTTCTTATATCTATCTTTGCCAGGATTTGGTCAATAGCAACCACATGGGTGTTAACAAACAAAAATCTTCCTTCCAAGGAGTCTTTCCATTATCAAGTTCCCATGGAAAACAAGCTTCCCCACAGACCTTCAATAAGTAATACATCATAACAAAAACAATAAAATCGGAAATAGCAACCATATAATGTGCAATTAAAAAAAAACTGATATTTTACTATTTTATATGAAAACATACATTAACTCAAAATATCACAAAAGATCACTCAATCTAAGTCAAACTGCAATGTTCAACATAAACAATAAATTGCAACATATAAATCATGAGAAAAAACTTTTAAAATCTTCGTTTTTTGCTTGTTGTAAAGGTCATTCTGTTTCCACCAGGTGGGGCAGTTTCTCTTTCTTCAAGTTCTGATACTTGTTCTTTCAATAGACGAACCTCTCTTTCATACTCGTTTTTCATGTGTTGTAATTTCATTCGGAATATTTCCTGATTTGTTGATGACCCATGTGCTGTTGAACTTGGTATTTTTTGTCGAAGTTTTGCCAGTTTACCTTCATATTCCATAGACACTCTAACAATCTCAGCTTCAGATTCCCTACTAGATATTTGTAATTTTTCTTTCAATTCTTCTACTTCTGAATTCTTTTTTCTTAAGGAAATTTCATTTCTCTCTTTCTCATTTTCTAATAAAATTTTCATTGAATTTCTAACCCCTTCTTTCTGTTTTTCATTATCAATAGTTATTTCCTCTATAATTCTTAAATGTTGTCTTTCTTTCTCATCCATCTTTAAATTTGAATCTTCAATATCTGCTTTTAGCCTCTCTAAATTAGCTTTAACTTCCCTGTTTTCCTCCTCAACATCACAAATCCTATGTAAACTTTTATGTGTAGAATCCAGAACAGTTTGTAAATGGTCAATTTGATTCTCAAGCTCTTCATTTTTAGACACAAGCTTTTGTTTATCATGAGAAAGTGTATTAACATCCTCCACTAGTTTTGACTTCTCCTTCATCAAACTTTCGATAAAATTTTGCCAGTGATCAAAAGATTTCTGAAAGTCATCTAAATCATTACTACCGACACTTTTTCTTTTCACTGGCTCTGTCCAAGTTTCAGCCAATTGTATTTTCTCCATTATATCTGAAACAGAAAATTTTAAGAACTTTTAATATGTGCTCATAAAAACAATGGTCAAAGTTGAGTTTGATTATTGGAGTACCCTTGAATAAATATGTGCTTGTGCATCAACAGACAAAAAGTTCTCTAAAACTGAGAAACATACAGTTAGAGTTTATTATTTTAATTTTTTCCTCTCATTCTCAGTTGATTATTTTGTGAGTAAATGTATCATGGAGAGAATGACCATGTGTCATAATGCATGTACCTTATTTAATGTTCAAATTGGCTTTTTTAAGCTCATTGTTTACAAATGAAAGGTGATGTCCGGCAAATTTCAATGAAACAGCAACCTAACAAAACAGAAAAATTAAAAAGACATCTCGAGGGTGGTATGTTGTCCTGTTTGGTATTTTTGTGATTCCTTTTATCCTTTATTGTATTAATTTAGTCAATATACAGTCTTCAACAATATATATATGGATGTACAATATTTCAAACGCCAAATTACTGGAGTCTTGTAAATGTGTGAATAAATTTAACAGAGACTGTTAAACAAATGCCATCAACACCAAATTCCACAAAATTACCAAATAAAATGACATTAAGACATATATATGACAAGAAAAAACTACTTTAAAAAAAAGAAAAAATGAAAACAACACTTTATAAATTTTACGTGTCCGAAGCAATTTGAAATCCAAGCTGTATAAGAACAGAAAAAGAAACAGTCAAAGAGTTAATATGACCAAAAGGGACCTACAAAAAATAGCCAAATCAAATCTAAGCTGTCAACTGTGCATGAGGGAGTTGAAACGTTACTGCAGAGTTTCCGAAATCTTTTTTCCCTTGGTGGTCCATGAAGAAAATCTGCTGGTCCTAACTATTATTTCTATTGCATAATACCAAAATTGTGTTGGTCCTTTGCAAAATTTTGGTGGTCAAAACCTTCGGACCATCACTTTTCCAGAACTCTTTATAATTTATAAACGGACAATTTTAGACAGGTTTGCAAAGTTCGTTACTTCAGTGGTTCTAAAGGCTTTGAAAAATCAATTGGACATTTGGTCCAGTGAAACATTCTTCTTAATTGGACCAGATTCTTTTTACAGGACATTTACACCTATGATTTGGACAAAATTAATAATTTTACTGGTCATTTGGTCGAGTAATGCATATCACTTAACTGGACCAAACCAATTTTCACTGCGACCTTAGGAATGACTGTTACTTGAGACAGGCACATATATATGTGGTAGGGTTAAAGTAACTTTTGAGTTCTCAATGCCCCTTATATAATCTCAATCAGTGGACTTAAACTTAACAAAAGAACATACAATATGAAAAAAGATCAGTACAATTACCGATACACCAAGTTTTGTGTCCAAGTTCAGTTTCCATAAACCGGGTGTAAGCCACAGTAAGGATGCATCTAGTGGAGCATGACAACTTCTTACAAAAAATGTGTATAACTCTGACCTACATTTTAGATTATTTGTGTCGGAATAAGTGGCCTACAATTATCTAACTCTGTGCAAGGGTACATCTATGGTCAAAAGCACTATCCTATAAAAGGTCACTTTGACCTACATTTTATGCTTCATTGAATGACTTGTATCAAGTTAAACATCAAGATTTCATACAATCATATAACTTATGTGTAAAGATGTGTCCAAAAGAGTATATATGACAGCCTAATACAAAAAGTAGGTCTATTTACATCTAAACTGTAAGATGACTTCTTGTAGGAGTTATTGCCCTTAAATGATAAATTTTACAAACTTTTTGTAATCTGCTAAAATTAAAATAGAAAGACATACATTTTATATATCAAAATTGATAAGTAAGACAAGATCTAAAAATAATCCCTTATAAGAGTTATCACTCTTGAATGATGACTTTTACCATTTAAATTATGCCATTTTTACCTATTATTTTGAAACAATGATAGATAAAGAGAATTTTAGAGAGTAATAAAATGCCCTGCAGGCACAGATTGATAAGACTGCAGAGGTTGAACCCTGAACAGTTGGGGAAAGTATGAACACAACATTAAAGCTGGATACAGCTCTGAATTTGGATTGTGATTTAATAGTGGACTCAGCATAGGTTTCTGACACAGAATGAATGTGGTCTAAGAAATTAAAAATTTGAAATTGGACATTTACCTATTACGGTCCAATTATCAAAATCTAATTACATGGGTAGATTCAGCATATCAAAGAATCCCAAGAATTTAATTTTTGATGAAATCAAACAGTTTGATTTTGGACAATTTGGACCTCAATGTGGACCAATATGAATCATGATTCCAGGCCCAAAATCCAAAATCTAAATATGTGGTTAGATTCAGCATATCAAAGGACCCCATATATTCCATTTTTGTAGAAATCAAACGAAGTTTCATTTTGGACCCAAATTTGGACCAACTTGAAAACTGGGCCAAATCAAAAATCTTAATTTGTACATGTTTATATTCAGCATATCAAAGAACCCCAAGAATTCAATTTTTGTCAAAAATTAAAATATGTTTAATTTTGGACCCTTTGGACCTTAATGTGGACCAATTTTAAAATCAAGCCCAAAATCATAAATCTAAATACAAGAATTCAAGACTTTGAATTACACCACATTGAAATTGGTCAAGAAATAAGCAATTTATACAAAGTATTAGAAAAGTATTGTTTTTTTGGCCCCTTTTTTCTTAACTGTTAAGGCCATAACCCCAAAATTCAAACCTTCCTTTTTTGATATGGAACCTAGTGATTCAATTTCATAGAGATCCATACACTTATGGGCAAGTTATTATACTGAAACCAGAAAATCCTTGTTTTTTGGCTCTCTTTATGGCCCCTAATTCCTAAATGGTTTGGGCCATAACCCCCAAAATCAATCACAACCTTTCTTTTGAGGTATGGAACCTTGTGGTACAATTTCATACCATTATAGACCGCAAAAATTTTGGAGTCGTATAAATAAAAATGATCGACAAGGCATTAGATCTGAAAAAAGTCCACATTGCTGAAATCGTTGGTCAACTCTTTACAATAAGATAATTATAAAGTATAGACAATAAAACAGACAATTGTACAGTAAAAAAACAGGGTGACAGTGGCTTTCACATGAGAATTTAAAAATATATATAATAATAAATGGCTACAATATTCGAGTATTCTTAAATAATCATTAATTATCATGTACAAAAATATTAACATACAAAAAAAATTTAGACTTTTTTTCTGAATGAAAGACAATCATTATAAAATTGTATTTTGCAATGATTTTGATAATGAATGGTGTGCTGCTGCTCAACAGTGAGGACAGTCTTTGCAATCAACCACAGTCCCACCAGCCCAGGCTTGTAAAAATGCTGTCGGGCCTGTAAAAATCTTCTCTACAATCCAATAGAATCTAACTAAGATTTTGTAAAATTAAACTTCGGGCCTGTAGATTTAAAAGTATATCGTGAAGACTGTGAGGAGATATGATTCAGTGATATTACTGAATGCAATTTGTACAATTAAAATATCTGTTTTTTTTTTTTTTTTAGATAAGTACCTCTTAATAAGGCATAGCATGGACAAGAAAAGTCTGAAAAGAAATGGTATTCATCTTCAATTTGTTCTCTGTCTCTGTCTGGCATAAGCATAATGTTTTCTTTCAATAGCTAGGGAATGGGAACTGAGTTTAAATTTACCAAGGACTGATCTGTCAGATTTTGTTTAATAAATAATTAATATCAATATAAGGGGGTTGTTTCTCAACTTTTTTATATGAATATTATGAAAAAAAAAAAATAGCTTTTCACATTTTTGGATTGAACAGTTCGAGTTTTGGAGAGCCAGATCAATGATCATTTGTTGGATATTATATGAGTTAGTGCCCTTACATGACAATTTTTACTATTTTTTTGCGTTTTTGCCAATTATCTTGAAAACTATAATAGATAGATAATAAAATGGGCGCAGCTTGATACAACCGCAGAGGTGGAACCCTGAACAGTTGGGGCAAGTATGGACACAACATTCAAGCTTGATACAGCACTGAATTTGGATTGTGATTAAATATTTGACACAGCATAGGTTTCTGACACAGAATGAATGTGGTCTAAGAACTTAAAAAAATTTAATTTACCTATTCAAACCATATCATTATTATTTGCTTTTATATATAAATCAGAAATAACCAATTTAAAATGGAAAATTTTAAAGAAAAAAAGGAAAAAAAGGGAAAAAAATCCCTCCCCCAAATTTTTTGAACCCCCTTATGATTCATTACCCCCAAACCCAATCCCAACCTTCCCTTTGTGGTATGGTACCCAGGTGCAGTACAAATTCAGAGAGATCCATACACTTGAACACAAGTTATTGTCTGGAAACTAGAAAAATGCTTGTTTTTTGGCCCCTTTTTGGCCCCAAATTCCTAAATGTTTAAGGCAATTACCCCCAAACTCAAACCCAGCTTTCCCTTTGTGATATGGAACCTTGTAGCACAATTTCATAAAGATCCATACACTTACACACAAGTTATTGTCCTGAAACTAGAAAAATGCTTGTTTTTTGCCCCTTTTTTGCCCCTAATTCCTAAAATTTTAAGGGAATTACCCCAAAATCAATCCCAGCCTTCCCCTTGTGGTATGGTAGGTTGCAGTACAATTTCAGAGAGATCCATACACTTGAACACAAGTTATTGTCTGGAAACTAGAAGAATGCTTATTTTTGGCCCCTTTTTGGTCCCTTATTCTTTAATGTTTTTGGGCAATTACCCCCAAACTCAATTCCAGCTTTCCCTTTGTGATATGGAACCTTGTAGTACAATTTCAGAAAGATCCATACACTTACACACAAGTTATTATCATGAAACTAGAAAAATGCTTGTTTTTTGCCCCTTTTTTGGCCCCTAATTCCTAAAATTTTGAGGCAATTACCCCCAAAATCAATCCCAGCATTTCCTTTGTGATATGGAAACTTGTGGTATAATGTCAGAGAGATCCATACACTAACACACAAGTTATGTCTG